CAGAAACCGATTATCAAATGATTGTGTGTTGAAGAAGATCCGTTTAAACTAAAGCACACCAAAATCGATTACCAAAATTCAGCATTGAGGAGTTGATGGTTTGACGCCAATCAACATCGAGGTGGTTAGCTTTTGCTGAAATATGCTTAAAGATAGCTAGTGGGTCAAAACCAAAATAATCAGCATCGAGGATGTCATCTTTTGGTGGAAACTATCATTGCAATCTCTCTTTCTCACTCCGTAGTTGTCACCATCGCCACCCAATCAAAATATCGCTACTTGTTACTAGGATTACATTTCAACAGATTGAACAATATGGTCTAGATTGAAGAAGCGGTGAGATTGATCACATAAGATATGTAAGTCAGTTAGGGCATGGATTTTGCGCCCTATGGATACCATTTCAACAAAGTCGTCGATGTAAATCAACGGGATATATATATATATATATATATATATATATATATATATATATATATATAAAGAAAGAAAAAGAGATGTTTGATGTGTTCTACCGATAAAGAAGGTAAATGAGAGGGGGGTATAAAAGATATTTTGTTTGACTTTATTTTTTATAAAATAAGCTAAAAGTAATATATATATATATATATATATATATATATATATATATATATATATATATATATATATATAAAGGGTAAAAAGGGGACCAACAATGTAATTTTTAGAAACAAAAGAGACCATATTTGTAAAAAAAAGTTAACATAGAGTGAAATTATAACATTTAATAAACTATATGGATTATTTATGTAACTTTATCAAATTAATTTGAAGTGAACTGACACCTCAAACAAACCTTTCCAAATCGCATCAGCTTTAAATATACCTATAAATATCTTTATTTCTTTCCTTTCTTTAAAGGAATTATTAGACAATAACATCATTCATTGAATTTTAGACAACAATGACAAATAAACCAAAAACGGCACATATTCTATTTACAGTTCACCAACCAATTGAGTATTTAATATAATATTTAATAAAATAAATGATAATGGAATTTATGTGCCGATCAAATCTCAAGTCGTCAAATAAGCATAATAATTTAGCACTTGCTACATATAATAAGAAACTTAGATATGAATCTTTTCATATTAGTCTATTACTACCTATTTTTGTGGGATACATCATTAAGCTTTAATAATTAATATCATTAATTTGAAAATAAAAGTAATATGGTAATAGGTATTGTTATTTTGACATCGTTTATTTGTATTAAATTTGCTTCAAAGCTATTAATCTTTGTCACACACAAATGGCAATCACATTCCTAGCAGGACCATCCATCTAACTACAAACATCTTTAACGCTAAAGACCCCATACACCCTACCACCTTTCACCAATTGGTTAACACTAGCACCGGTGACCACCGCTAGCTATGTATCACTATAACCATCACAGTTAATTAAAATGTTGTTGAGCATCGTGACGATGACAACACTGTCAACCAACAAGTGCAATTGAAGGCAAAATGAATGGACCAATAGAGTCGGGTCAAGAACCGTACCACTCTAGTCAAACCAGCGTACTGGTCCGGCCAAGAGTGTCGACCAGGTGAGACGTGCAATATGTTGCAAAACTGGTTTTAATGAATTTTCAAAAATGGTTTTTTCCCATTTTGAGCACGAATTTCAAACCTTAAACATTATTAAAATGGAAAAATGATTATGTGTTTGTGTTCTTCTCCATGATATATTTGTTTCAATATATCACACGTCACACTCCTTTAGAAACTTTTGTGCGTGAATACGAATGCACCACTCTTCGACCGGAAAAGTTCAATGACATTTTGCAATTACTTTTTCTTTTTGTAACCGAATATGTATTAATTATAAACTTGTATTAAAGGCCATTAATCATATATTTTGATTTTGATTAATTGATTAATCATAAACTTGCAAGGCTTTTTCGCCTTGTAAGTCTTATAACATAAAGACTCTCTCTTCTGCGCAGAAAGAGAAGGGAGAGGGGGTGTGAACCAGATTGGCTTGAGTTCACTGAACTTGTGTATGCGGATATGAATGCAACTTCGGTCGACCAAAAAAGTTTAATGACCTTTTACAATTATTTTTTCTTTTTGCAACTATAGTTATAAACTTGTATTAAAGGTCGTTAATCATAGATTTGGGTTTTGATTTCTTGATTAATCATAGACTAACAAGGTTTCTTAGTCTTGTAAGTCTTATGACACAAAGACTCTATCTTGTGAGCGCACATGGATGCAAATGTGAACCTACCTTGAGTTCATGGAACATGTGTGCGCGGGTATGAATGCACCATTGGTTGACCATAAAAATTTAAGGACCTTTTGCAATTTTTTTATAATTAAATATGTATCAGTTATAAAGTCATATTAAAGGCTATTAATCATATATTTCAGTTTTGATTTCTTGATTAATTATGCTCTTTAATTTTAACAGTTACGTTTTACTGCTTAACATATAGTTACATTTTGTGGTATATATACAACACTTGTGTGACTGATTGGGAAACAACAAATGAACCAATATTTTCTTCCTCTCATCCGATTTTATTTCTGCTTCGTCCTCTTGCTACAACTAAGGTATATTCCCGCCTAGCATCAATTCAGACGATCTTGAAGAATCGTTTTGCATTGTTGTATCGTGGAAGTTTTAAGGAAACTGTGTTGAAGACATACCTCATATTCATAATCATAGACCGCAAATTTGTAATCAAACTTCAACGATAAATCCTGTGATGTTCATCTGGGATGATATTACTAATAGCAATGTTAATGTAATCGAACATATTAGATATAATGGCAACATTCTTAACGTCCCTAAAACATCCCTTTATACTCATTAAAATAAGGATCACGACTCAACACTTTGTTTCATGCCCTAACCGCAGGCTAGGAGCATGGCTTGTTGGTTTCCATCGATGTCAAATGTTATGGACATTGTGTGTAATTAGTTCCCTTCCAAAGGGGTGTTTTCTTTGAAGATCATCAATCTTAACGATATGTATGAAATTGTAACTTCAAGTAAACAAGTGTTGTATTAAAAATGTATCTCACCATAAATCTCAAAACACCAAACAAAACCTACAAAATGGTGTTTGACATCTTTCTTAATATGTTAGTAGTTTTGTGATTGGGTTCTTTCACGATCATAATAGTAAAGAGGGAGGGTGATAAAACTTTTCTTCGTGGATTCGATTGGATGAACTTATTTTTAGTTGTAGATCTCTATTAGTGGTGTAAAAATCTAATCCATAAGCAATACGTGTGTAGGAAGAAAATGCTACTACAAAAACCAATGTGTAATATATGTTCGGAATATGTGTCTAGCTAATGTTAAGACAATTTTAAATATAATCTATGTCGAAAATAGTAAGTTCAAAATGCACATTCTGAAAAGTAGACTCATAATAAGAGATTTCATACAATTTTATGTCATATCTTGCCGGTCACCAAAAAAAAAAATAAGTGGACTCTATGGTTATCTGGGCAAAAGAGGAAAGAATTAACCACATCCTTTAATACTATATACTAAGACTAAGATTTGGTCGATACGATCATCTTTGTAAATATCCAAAAGTTATATAACTAAAAAAACGACTACTACATAAATAAGAAACAAATGTGTGTTCGTTAGATCATTGGCAAAATCATTATAATTTCAAGTCGATTTGCCAAAATATTTTCTATTCTTACACCTTTCCATCATTCAAATTCTCTACGAGATGTGCACAAAAAATGGTTTGAAAAAAACGAAATTCTCATCCGACGGATTTATGAAAAAAATAATTTTATAAAAACTAATGCAATTTAAAATTGAACTGCCAGTTTACCGGTTTGAGATTTGAGATTTTTCTCTAGAACAGTAGAACAATATAAATTTTATTAAAACTAGCAAGATGCTAGTAAAATAAACACACTACAAGAGGAAATATCCTCTATTAAACAAACAAAATAAATATTGAAACAATCTTGTTAAATTAGACAACTTTCCTTGGTTTTTCCGCTGCAAAAGTTTATAAGTTCCAAAAGATCCAAAATAAAACCCAAGTAGTTGTATGTACAACGTAGGGATGAACATTTGATGTGCAAAGGGATCGGAAAAAATCGAAACCGAAACCATGGTATACAATCCGGTTCTCGGTTCTCCATTTCCCTCTAAATCGGTTCCCAATTCTTCGGTTCTTAGTTCGGTTCGGGCCAGGTTTGAAACCGAACACATCTTTAAAGAACACACTTACTTGTATAACCAAACTGGAACCGGTTGGAATTGGAACTGGGGTATTGTGTCCGGTTCTTGGTTCTTCATTTTCCTGATTCTTTAGTTCTCGCTCTGGTTCCTAACCTATGTTCATCCCTAGTACAACTACATCCAAACACTTCCTTTCCTGATCCTGCTTTCAACCGATTTTGCAGCGGTCCTATATGCTTGAACTTTTTTGCCCCTAAACTGGTTTTGCCTCAACTTGGTTTTACTCTGCATTACTTTTGCATCAAACTAGTTTTCTTACCGTAGGAAAAACCCTAACCGGTTTTAAAACCAATCCGGTTCGATTTGAAAAAAGGGTATGTCCACCTCTCATGCTAACCAATGCCAAAGTACAAGAAGGACCATTAATATAAAAGTAGTTGTCAAATGACAAAATGTGTAAATGATCGACTAACCCATGTAGATGATTGAATATCCCAGGGACTATTTTTGTCACATTGCCATTTTGTGTACCATCAAGATTGCTGACGCCAACACTTTAAGTGTCGTTCAGCCAGCGGAGCAAAAAGAACTGTACTTAAGTTAAGTCACTCAAATTTTCAGAAAGCTCCCTCAACTTATAACCATTTGACCATTCTAGTCCCTGAATAGTGAATTCATCTTCTAGTCGACTGATCGAGACGTTTTTCAACATGAAGTAGACAAGTCTTGGACTCTCACCCAAACAACGGTATCTCTCCTCTCTCTCTCTCTCTTTCTCTCTCTCGAAGTTTTCTTTCTACATTCAAATGAAGCAAGTATTTGTTTGATTAGTAATTAGGGGTATTCTTTCTTCTTTCCTACTATTTCCCCACTATACATATAATTGATAACAATTCAATCATTAATTTTTGATTCCCTTTTCTTGTTTCCTTTTAATCTGAATCAAATGCACACAACCCAGTGAGCTCAACTTCACTCATATCACTTCTCAAGTGAGATAAAACGATTCATCTAATCACCATAGATTTGCACCGTTTGTTATTCATATCATAAATCGCCGGTAATTGAAACAAATCTCAGATTCATCGTCTTCAAACAGACATGAATCTTGGATTTACGTTTTTGCGAATCCTTTCAATTCTCATATCTATCCCCTAAATTATCTCTTTTTTCTTATTTAAACGTGAGTAGACATCACATATAGCGTTATCTCAAGATGGGTTTATCGCAATTTGATCGCTTGATCTGTTATTTTGTGTCTATCTACTTGTGTGTCTCTGTTTGTGTTTTCTTTTGTCGATTTACTGAATTGGGGTTTTGATACTTTCATCGTACAGCGTAGTAGAGAAGAAGTTGGGAAGATGAGCGGAGCTGTGCTAGTGGCTGTTGCCGCCGCCGTTGGTAACTTGCTTCAGGGATGGGATAACGCCACTATCGCCGGTAAGTTACTAAAAAAACCAGATCTTCATCGATCCATTGCTCCAAATCTCAAAATTCTTCTTAAAAAAAGTATAATTTAACAAACAATCGGTGTTGTTTTGCGATTTAGGGGCTGTGTTGTACATAAAGAAAGAGTTCAAATTGGAAAGCGAACCAACAATCGAAGGTCTAATCGTGGCCACATCCTTGATCGGAGCCACCTTGGTGACAACTTTCTCCGGTTCAGTAGCAGATTCATATGGCCGACGACCGATGCTCATCATCTCTTCTATCCTATACTTCGTTAGCGGTTTAGTCATGCTTTGGTCACCCAACGTTTACATCCTTCTATTAGCTAGACTACTAGATGGTTTGGGGATCGGATTGGCTGTCACTCTTGTCCCTGTTTATATCTCCGAAACAGCTCCGCCGGAAATCAGAGGCTCACTCAATACTCTGCCGCAGTTTACAGGTTCCGGCGGGATGTTCCTTTCTTACTGTATGGTGTTCGGAATGTCATTAATGGAATCACCCAACTGGCGATTGATGCTCGGCGTTCTTTCAATCCCTTCTCTAGTTTACTTCGTCCTCACCATCTTTTTCTTGCCGGAATCTCCCCGGTGGCTCGTGAGCAAAGGTCGAATGCAGGAAGCGAAGCAGGTTTTACAGAGGCTACGTGGCAAAGAAGACGTCTCAGGTTAAACAATTTCAACAATTCTCTCTCTTTCGTAATGAAACATCACATCTGTAAACTTTCTGATTTTTATTTTTTTTCCGATTTGACAGGTGAGATGGCGTTACTAGTGGAAGGTCTTGGAGTCGGCGGTGAAACCTCCATCGAAGAATACATAATCGGACCTGCAAATGATCTTGAACACGAACAAGACGAAGCTGCTAAAATCAAATTATATGGTCACGACGCTGGGGTTTCATGGATCGCTCGACCTGTTACAGGTCAAAGTATGCTCGGAATTGCATCTCGTCAAGGAAGCACTATAAACCCTAGTGGTGTCCCACTTATGGACCCACTTGTCACCCTCTTTGGAAGTGTCCATGAAAAGCTTCCAGATGCGCATGGTAGCAAAGGGAGCATGTTGTTCCCACATTTCGGGAGCATGTTTAGTGTCACTGGAAACCAACCTAAACATGAAGATTGGGATGAAGAAAGTGTCGGTAGAGATGGTGGTGATGATTCCGGTTCCGATGTCGGAGGCGGGAATAACGATTCCGATGATAATCTCCACTCCCCGTTGATTTCCCGACAAACTACAAGTTTAGAAAAGGACATGATTCAACCGGCTTCACATGGAAGCATTCTAAGTGTTAGAAACAGTAGTGTCATCGGAAACACCACCGGAGAATTGAGCAGTACCGGAATTGGCGGCGGGTGGCAGCTGGCGTGGCAGTGGACGGAAAGAGAAGGGCAAGATGGTAAAAAGGAAGGCGGGTTTAAGAGGATTTATTTGCATCAAGAAGGCGGGACCGGGATCGGAGGGTCGCAACGTGGGTCGTTGATTTCGGTTGCTGGCGGTGATATGGCGGCGGATGCTGGTGATGTTTTTCAGGCGGCGGCTTTGGTTAGTCAACCCGCTCTTTATTCTAAGGATCTTGTGGACCAGCACCAGGTGGGACCCGCTATGGTGCACCCATCTGAAGCGGCTATGAAAGGAACGAGTTGGAAGGATCTTTTTGAGCCCGGGGTTAAACATGCTTTGTTTGTTGGTGTTGGGCTTCAGATACTTCAACAGGTAAATATAAATTGGAATTTGGAAACTTTTGTGTTTGATTTTTGTTTATTGAATTTTTAAATTTTAATTTTTTTGTTATTTGCAGTTTTCGGGCATCAATGGAGTTCTTTACTACACGCCTCAGATTCTTGAGGAAGCCGGTGTTGGTGTTCTTTTATCAAATTTGGGAATTAGTTCGACTTCATCGTCTCTTCTTATTAGTTGCATTACAACTTTGTTGATGCTTCCTTGTATTGCTGTGGCAATGAGGCTCATGGATATTTCTGGAAGAAGGTAATTAATTACTTTCTTGAAATTTGTATTAAAAGGCATTCACGCCTTTTACACAAACAAAAGTTCCAAACAAAAGTTGTGAAGCAAGTCTCTGTCCCACCTTTTTGGGTTTGACAAAAAGTTGAAAATTTTGTCCCGTTCACATCAATCTAATCTAACATCAAACACAGTACACAATAGTCTTATTCTATTCTGTCCGGTTTTGTCATCAATCTAATCTAACATCAATCACAGTACACAATAGTCTTTTTCTATTCTGTCTAGTCTTGTCCTGTGTAACAAACACAATAGTCTTTTTCTATTCTGTCTAGTCTTGTCCTGTGTAACAAACAAACAGGATCTCAAGGGACAATGTCATTTTTTTTATTTTACGATGGGTTGAATGCAAGAAATAGCAACATACATTCATTAATACGTTTATTATAACATCCTCCTTTGATTTTTTTTTTTGATTACAACATAGTACTTTGAAAAATCACAATTATAGCAATGTCATCCCAATACAAAGCAATTGTCTTAATAAGAATTATTTCAAAGTACAATGCTCTAATAAAAGAAAGTGAAAGTAAAGATGCTATGAATTATGATACCTAAATAAATGAAACAATGTTGGTATTTCTTGCATTTATCCCTTTTACATATAATCAAGTAGAGCTAGTTTATGTTTATCAACAAGTTGTTCCATGTTCTAATATCTTTCAAACTATGTTATTGCAATTTGCAGGACTCTTTTATTGACTACAATCCCGGTGTTAATCTTAACCCTCGTAATCTTGGTGGTGGGAAGTGTAATCGACTTTGGAAGTGTAGTAAACGCCGCCATTTCAACCGCTAGTGTGGTGGTGTACTTTTGTACTTTCGTGATGGGCTTTGGCCCAATTCCCAACATCTTATGTGCGGAAATATTCCCAACAAGAGTCCGTGGACTTTGCATTGCCATTTGTGCCCTTACATTTTGGATATGTGACATCATCGTGACATACTCACTCCCGGTTCTTCTCACTTCCATTGGTCTCTCGGGTGTTTTTGGATTGTACGCGATTGTGTGTGTGATCGCGTGGGTGTTTGTGTTCTTGAAGGTTCCGGAAACAAAAGGAATGCCACTTGAAGTTATTACCGAGTTCTTTGCGGTTGGTGCAAAACAGGTTGCGGCTGCAAAGGGTAACTGATTTCGGTGACGGTTTTGGTGCGCGCGCGTGTGTTTTGGTTTGGTTTAAATTTTGTTGTGATTGAAATGGAAAAATTCAAATTTTTAGTTGTTTGTTGTAATAGCTTTGTATCAATTGTCTTTTAACATTTGTATTTTTTTCCTTTTTAAATTAATGCACGAAGTTTAGGCCGGAAAATCTTTTTGTTTCATCAACCTTTACCCCTTTATATAAATCTTTAAATCTTTTTGTTTCATCAACCTTTACCCCTTTATATAAATCTTAAAGTAGAATTGTGGTTTATGGTTATAGGCGAAAGATTATATAGGTAATGTATGGGCAATGACATAAAAGTAAGTTCAGCAGAAATGTCTTTTTACGTATTTTAAGTTCATTAAAGTTGGAGGTTTGCAACTTTTTTTTTTCAATTTTACCTTTTTGCATATTTATGGTTCATTAAAGCCATTACGTTTGGTAGAATTGTTTGGTTTTACCGGGTAAACCTGCAAAAAGCGTAAAATTGAAAAAAAAATTGCAAACTCCATCTTTAATGAAACAAAAATACGCAAAAAGTTAAATCCACACATTTACGCCAAACTTAAGGACTTTTATATCATTTGGCATTTGCCGATAATGTATTTTATTTTTTATCCATAATAACAATTCATTTACGTCTTTTTACCCATTATAACAATGCACATCATTTTTTTAGTGAAGATAGCAACATACTTACATTTTGCTACTCATATTGGCAATGTACTTTATTTGTTACATATTGGTATTAAAAAGATATGTAAATATGTTGTTATTATGTGTAAAAGATGAAAGTATGTTGCTATTATAGTTTAATGTATTTGCTATTATCAGTTAAAAAAATATAAGTATGTTGTTATTATGGGTAAAAAATAAATGTACATTGCAATCTATGTGCTTTAATTTATATGTGTGGTATAGGATATTGCTTTCATTTTTTTTTTTAAATTATAGTTTTTTTCCATTTTTTTTTGTTTCTCTTAAGCATTGTACTTTAAAACTTTTTCTTATTAAGACACTATACTTTCAAAAAGTATATCAAATTATAGCATTGCAATTTTAACCTTTTCCTTGTTAAGACAATATAAATTGAAAAGTACCCAAATATTAACACAAAAAATGTTTTGTATTTGGATGACATTGATATAATTGTATTTATGGTGATAACTAAAAACTATACGATTCACTAAAAGTGTTTTTTATATCAGAAATCAAGACATGGATTGTTTAGATGTATAGTGCCAAGAAATGCAAGATGATGCTTTTATTTATGGGCTACACGTAAGAAATAGTGATGTATTTTTCATTTATTTGTGTATTATAACATTTTTTTTTCACTTCGTTCTACGATAGTAATGTACTTTCATTTTTCTTTTCTTTTAAAGCATTATACTTTAAGAAATAAATCCGATTATAATATTGTACTTTTTTCTTGTTAGGAAATTATACTTTGTGCTATTGAATTTTAGCAATGAAGATGCTATACATTTGGAATTTTGTATGACATTGCTATAACTGGATTTATTGTTAGTGCTCACGAAATTGAAAGATGATTTTATTTGAGGGCTAAACACCAAAAGATGATTATGTACTTTCATATATTTGTGCATTATATCATCTTCCATTTAATTCTTTCTATTATCATGTAATATTTTCAATTTTTTCTTACCAAAACATTGTTGTTTGAAAAACACAACTAATTATAGCATATACATTATAAAAGGAAAATGTTGCAATAGTGAAAATTCTTTGCTAATTTCGTAGGCAAACTTATCCAATCGTCACACAATCATCCAAGAAATCAAAAAAAATACAAACTTTTCAACATTCAAGATTAGCTTCTGAGCCATAGACCAAAGTTCATAAAAATAGCCAATTTTTATTTCATCAACAAACTCAGAAAGCTTACCCATTATCATCATTCATTGATTTCATCTTCATAATTATCTGGAAATGCTACTAACAAGTCTAGCACCAACTCTGTCCAATTGCTTCACCATAGCCACAGCTTTCAAATTCCCTTCCGCCATGAAAGCTTCCACCATCTTCTCCCCAATCTCCCTCCCTTTTTCCTCGTTATCTGTAACAGCCACCGCAGTTGGCCCTGCTCCACTGATCGTACACCCATAAGCCCCTGCCTCAAGTGCAGCCTTCTTCACAGCATCCATTCCCGGAATCAATGGCGCCCTCCTCGGTTCCACTATCTTATCAGAAGACAACGCCTTTCCAAAACCCTTCAAATCCCCCTGCAACACCGCCGCCACCAAGGCACCTGCTTGACTACTGTTCCATACATGGTGCGACATTGTTATCTCTTTTGGTAACGCCGCCCTCATCTTCTTCGTCGGCGCTTCGAATTCCGGATTCACCAAGACGAAGTAGAGGTTTTTGTCGACCGGAAACTGCAACGGAATCAGCTCTAAAGGATCGTAGCTCCGAACGAGAACGAAACCACCCATGATTGCCGGCGCAATGTTATCAGCGTGGTATCCGGATACTTTAGCTTCCGATTCAAGCCCTGCGAGGACTAAATCCAATGCAGGCAACTTTCCACCAAAAATCTCATTAACGGCGATTGCCGCGGCGGCGGCACTAGCGGCGCTGGAACCGAGACCGCTTCCGAGGGGGAGACCCTTTTCTAGAGATAGAGAGAGGCCGACGGATCGGATGTTGAGCATCTTCATGACAGAAATGGCAGCAATACCAGCGCAATTCCAGATAGGGTTTTTGCTGAGCTTATTGGCGGAGTTGCCGGTTCCGGTGATTTCGGTGATTGAGACCTCGCCAGGGTGAACTTGGGGGTCGATTTTGAGGGTGACATAGTCTCCGATCCCATCGACTGCGCAACCGAGAAAGTCAAACCCAGGGCCGAGGTTGGCTACGGTGGCGGGGGCGAAGGACTTGACGGCGGTGTAAACGGGTTCGGGTTCGAGATTTGTAGTGACGGATAGATTGCAGCGGAAAGACGATGGGAGATGAAGTTGGGATTTGTTTGAAAGATTAGTAGTGAATGGGAAAGAAGAAGGGATGGTGAATGAAGGTTGATGGTGATGACAAATCGCCATTTTTAGTTGCAGAGAGCGTGGTGGTTGGTGAGGAGGAGCCGCCGATGTGTATTGACCTTTGGGGGTTAACAGTGGTTTCGTTGGGTGCTGAAATGCACCCTATTTGTTGTTTATTTGTTGTTGTAATTTGACAAATTGAAACGCATTGTGTTTGGGATTGTTTTTAAAAATAATTTAGTTTTTTTTTGTGACCAAAATTAATAAATTAATAAATAAATGAGTTATTTTTTAAAAAGTATTTTGTTTAGTTTTTACTTAATGACTAAAAATAAGTTGGAGAATTTTCGTCAAATACCATGAAAATCTTGATTTTGTATAATGACCACAAGATCTATAGAGGGTGCTCTACAGATCCGTTAAATCTTCTGAAGATCTACGCACACCTCTACGAAAATGAGGTGGCAGCAATAAGGCAAAAATTTCAGGGTTTTAAGGATCCACATAGGCGTCTCTGCGGATCCTCTATTTGTTCTACGGATCGCTTAAAGGTTATGAGGAATTGGTAGTTGTAGTCGTTTATGAGGAATTGGTAGCCGTCTCTGTGGAATTGGTGTACACCTCTGCGGATATAGTTATTTCTCTGCGGAAATGGTAGTTGTAGACGTTTTTAAGCAATAATTGACCATTATATATGTTTTTTTCCAGTTTTTATGACTTTTAGTGAGCAGAAACGAAAGTTTTTCATTTTTATGAAGACTTTAATCATTATAAGTCATTTTTTTGTTGTCTTTGTGGAGAGTGTTTTATATAAAATGAGTTTTATTATTCTGTGTACGGGAGGGTTGTGGCAGTTAGTTAATGGAAATGAGGTTTAAGTTAGAAATAATGTGAAAAACTATGGTTTAAATATTCCTCCTAACTTTGACTATCATATGTTATTACAAATGGTTAGAAATAAGGTCGGTGTGTTTAATAGTCATGTATCTTTGTCTTTTAAACACCCGGAGTGTGGGTATGTCATGGAGCTTGCAGATGAATCAGATGTAGATCACTTGAAACATGTAATGTTTGAAACAAACCAAAAAGTGCATTTGTATTTATCGATGGTAGGTGAAGAAGTTGAAGAACAGCCAATGGTGAAAAGCCAGTTTATTGGAGCAATAAGTAGTAGATGTCGTGGAGATAGACAATCTGGTGGAAACCGGTCCAGGGGACGAGGAAATGACGCGGGAATGGGTTATGAAAAGAAAGCTTCAGTTGGTGATAAGTTTGTATCAGATAACGATAACTTTTTATCACATAATGATAATGAACCAAATTTGCGCATGACATAATTAGAACAGCAAAATTTATTTGAGTTTGGAGAAGTACCTGATTTTGATGATCAGTTATCTGATGAAAAATCAAATGAAGGTTGGTCGGGAGATTGCTTTTAATCCCTGGTATTGTATTCCTCCTATTCCTGATTGTCCAGAACCTATTCTTGAACCTGGACCATTTCACAGTTTAGGTCCGAATGATAAAATATTTGTGAATCAAACCTATAACACCAAAAAAGACCTAACAACTTCTGTTAAATTTAAAGCGGTTAAAGAAAAGTTTCAAATTAAGGTTCAAAAATCAAGCAAATCTCGATACGAGGTTGTTTGTTTGCAAGAAAACTGTCATTGGCGTTTATATGCAGCTGTCATTAAAGGAACTAAAATGTTTGAAATTAAGACTTTTAATGGGGAGCACACATGTTCTTCATTACTTATACACCCAAATCATAAGCAAGCAACTAGTGAAGTTGTGGGAAGCATAATACATGACATTATGGGTCAAGGTAGTTTGAGAGTTTGGAAACCTAAATATATTATTAGAGATATGAATGCGTTGCTGGATATTAATTTGAATTATTCACAAGCGTGGCATGCTAGAGAATTTGCTATGGGATTGATGACGGGGACCCCCGAAGAAAGTTTCTCCAAACTTCCAGTTTATTTTCACAACTTGAAGAAACATAATCCTGGGACTGTGGCGTACAAACAAACTGATTTGGAGGATCGCTTCGAGTATTGTTTTTTTGCTATTGGATGCGCGGTAAATACATAAATTAAATTTTAAACTTTGTAAATATATAGTGTTTATAAACAAAATAAATTTTTTAATATATTCATGCTTTTTACATAATTGTTGCAGATACGTGCTTTCAGAGGGTTTTGTAGAAAATTTATTATTATGGATGGTGCCCATTTAAAGGGAAAGTACAAAGGCACCATATTGCATGCAGTTGACATGGATGGCAACAATCAGATATTGCGTAGTTATGGAATTTGCCCAAAAGAGACAACAGATTCTTGGACATGGTTCCTTGAAAAACTACATGAATGCATTGGTGATTTGGAAGGTCTAACATTGGTAACGGATATGGCTACATCAATTGCTATAAGTATTCAAAATGTTTTTTCAAATGCTCAACATGGCTTGTGTGGTTTCATATAATAGGAAACATAGTGCACACCTTTGGAAAAAATTAAAAAAACAGCAATTTTGTTTTGGAAGCTTGTAAGAGCTTACAAGACCATTGAGTTTGAACAATATTGGGGGAGACTTTGTACTCTTAAACCATATGTAGCGGCGTACCTTAGTCAAATTCCACGTGATAAATGAACTAGATCCCATTGCCCTACCATGAGGTACGATTATTTGACCTCAAACAGTGCAGAGTCCATAAATGTTGTATCAAAACATGCAAGGAAGTTGCCTATATTACCACTTCATGAGTTCTTATGCGCGCTTATGCAGAAAGGGTTTTACCAACATCGGGTGGCTGCAGGTATGACTAAAATTTTGTCAAATTGAACGATAAATGTCATATATAATGATATATCATTTTTTTTAACATAAAAAGTACAACAATACTTACGAAGTGGGCCGAAGCTATGATTTAAAAAAATAAAGACGGGATAACAGGATGGTCGGTATCTAGTGTTGACAATACAACATATCAAGTTCATGACTTCAAAAGTGGTGGCATAGTTTACTTGAGGCAAAAGACTTGTTCTTGCAATTATTGGAAACTAACCAGTTTGCCTTGTGGTCATGTGATTATGGTTTTAACGCACTAGAAAAATGAAAATTGTGGGCATGTGGCTATAGATTCTTATAAAATTGAAACCTATCGAAGAACGTACGAGGAGGCCGTCTACCCCCTACCAGAACATGGTGATTGGGAGGTTCCTAATGACCTTAGGGTTGTTATCCCTCCAGTAATGTAAATACGTCAAGCGGGTAGACTGAAAAACACCAACCATATCCCCTCACAAGGTGAGGAACTGAAAATAAGAAGATGTAGTAGATGCCATAGTACAACACATAATACAAAGACGTGTAAGGAAATTGTCCGAACGAAGCAAAATAAAAGTAGAAAACGTAGTGGGGCTTCAGGAAGTGGGACAAAAGCGAGAGAAGACGAAGGGACGCAAGTGACAGAAAACCAGTGGAAGCAGGAGGCAAAAATCCAAGGGACGCACGAGACAGAAAACCTAGGGACGCAAGCAACAGAAAACCAAGGGATGCAAGACTCACAAAACCAATGGATGAAATACGAAGACGGAACATACTTTCCGTGGTTCGATTTGAATGAATGAAGTTTATTTTAAAATCTGTTTATTATGAAGTTTGTATAAAAAAAATTAGTATTCCAATAAACTTTTGCATTACTATTTCATCAACTCCGCAGCAAAGTATTGTTAATTCCGCAGTACTGTTTCATCTACTCTGTATCAAATAGTGTTCGTTCCACGGTAGTAATATTTTATTATATTAAAATTACGGTTTCATCAGTAAGGATTTTACTATAGAATGACTTTAGAATGCGTATAATTTCATCTGCTTTGTACCCTTTCTTTGATTCATTTTTCTGAAAAATTACCCCTCATAATTTCACTCACAATGGGTTCCAGACCATGGAGAGCTAAGGAGAACATACGTCTAACTCGTGCATATATTACTGTGTACGAGAGCATCAGTGTGAATGATCCAAGTTTTTGGACCCGTTTAACTTATACCTTCAACGTTGATCCTCAAACCGTTGCAGGAAACTATCGTAACACCGTTGATATCACAGCAAAATGGTATGAAGTAAAAACATAAATTTTGTTATTCAACGATCTTTATAACAAAATTGATGACGCACGGATGAATGAAGATGAGGAAGTGATCTTGGAGGCGGCGAAAGAGGAATACAAATCCGCTAGCGATGGGTCGGAATTCGAGTATAAAGCCCCTTGGAATCTTATAAAAGATCTCCCGTATTTTTAATTTGTATTGCGTTTGTAGTAAGTTATTTGTATGTACTTGGTTTTTATTTGGATATTTAGATGTATTTGGTTATTTTAAGGTTATTTATATGTACTGCTTTGTATTAGGTTATTTTTATGTATTGTTAATTTGTATTACATTGTTTTCATCGTCTGCGTAATAAACTACAAACACTACAAATACAAATACGTTGAGTTGTTTTCTACTTTATTCCAGCGAACAAAAACTACAAACACTACAAATACATGGAAACAAAAAACACAAACCTTACAAATAATAAGATAAAGCAGTAGCAAACATTACGCATAAAACATTACCGGCTACATGAAATACTGGTTTTTTTAAGCACATTCCAAACGTCCTCATATTCGAACTCACTTCCATCACGCTCCATTATGTAATGCTCTTTAACAACTTGTAAAAATTCTTCATCGTCTGCGTAATAATATGGCCTATTTTTAACATAATTATACCATCGATTTAACCATGTGATTTTTTTTCTTTAATTCCATCCAATTACTAACAATATCTTCTTTAAGCCGGTGTTGTCCTTCTCCCATCTCATGGTTGAACAAACCTATTATGCGGGTCCATTCATCACCCACAAGGCAATGAGGGGGAGCTATTGGTGTTACACACTCGTAAATGTTCATCCAACATCGTGTTAGGACCATCACCTCTATTGTCGTCCATGGACGTGGAGCATCGGACGATGTCGCTGCATTTGAAGAAGTTGGTATATTGAAGGTCATTTC